TCACATTACAGCTGCTTTTCTCTCATATTGAAAGTACAACTGAAATACATGTCCACTGTAGCTCTGCCATTGCAAACAGAGCTTACACTCAGTTTCTGAGTGAAAAGAGTGATGTGAATTTTCCCGCTCGTGTGTCCTATTTGGGTTTGGGTGCATTTGCATTTTGTTTCATGGGTGAATGTGGTGAATAATTGTCATTTAAAGAATTCGCTCATGTTTACTCCAACTATTTTAGCACGAATTATACATTTACGAGATTTACAATTACATTTATGAGCTTTGCATCAGAGCCAAAGCAGCCAGGGTGTTGTGGTCAGTGCTTGGTGAAAAACATGGAGGGACACTGAAGAAACAGCGGAGCAAATCAGCACAGGTCCCTGTTTACCCCTGTCTCTAATCCAGACAGACACTAATGCAAATAAAATAAAACACATTCTCTACAGTCTGTCTGACACAGCACAACTGATGTACAACAAGGAGAGGGGACTTTCTGCTAAGCTTGTGACCTACGAGAAAATAATAGTTTAGTACACAGATTCATTTTAGCAGATGAGGTAAACTGGGGAAAAATGGGGCAGAGAAATTTGGAGGATTTTGAGTTAAGAAGGAAAAAATTAAAGGAAAAAAAAACAAACTGGTTATTGCATTTATGTGTATAATAACCTTTAACTTAAAAAATTAAAAGCATTAAATACATTTCCAGTTCCTTTGGTATTGGCTGCATTCAAACATTTCAGTTAAACAGGTAGGATAGTTTTATTTATTAGATTTAATTTCAATGTGATATTTTGTAAAATGACAATCTTTTATGTTAGAGAGCTAAACTGTAGGGCCTAGTCTGTTTGTATCTCTTGTCTTCCACTGAAACTGGCTCTTTTCCACACGCAACTGGTTGCAGTCACACTAGGAATTTGCAGTTCACATCATCTTTCATGCATCACTTAGCCAAGCAAATAACCTAGCAGTTAGCAAGCTGATAAACTTGCGTACTACAAACAATAAAATCACAAAAGGAAAGCAAAGATAACATCTAATACAGCCTCTCAACAGACTGCATATCCTTTTGTTTATTAATAGCCTGTTGGGAAGAACCGTGTCAAGCTTGGACATATGGATATTTCCTCCACTTTGGATCTTCAGTGCTGCCATATGAAGCCTTGCCTCATCAGAGATCAGTTCTCAGCCGTGTCCGAAATGGTTCCCGGATCACTATATCCTACATTTAAAAATCAGGATCACTATACAGAACACTATTATAGGAAACAGAATTAGTGACGGTAATAAATGATTTTGCTCATTACTATACGACAGTAGATTCATTGCAGAAACACTATAAACGTCATGCCACCAGACCACTGTAACTGCTGAGGTTGACTGCACACATGAGAAGAGCTTACTTACATCTGTAACAGGTCTGAAGAGAGAAGACGCTGCCACTGTAGCTGGGCTCCGTAATCCTACTCAGAGACGTTGTGTATGAATTATGGGTATCATCTAGGGTTCATTGGTTACACACACTGCACACTTGTTTGAGTGCACTGGATATTCTGGACTGTTTTCTGACACCACTACAAAATGGCAGAACCCAATAATAGTGTACTATATAGCGAATAGGGCACGGTTTCAGACACAGCTGTTGTCTGATGATGTGAATTCCCATGCCAAAGTTTACCAAAGTTGAACTAGACACAAAACACGTTAGCAGTCTCTAGTAACACTAAGTGAAAATAGCAGTAACTACATAGCCTCACTCTTTGCACTAATTCCTCCTAGTAAATCATGTGAGCATGTAGTATATAGCATACAAAAATGGTTAATGTCACTGCCACTTTATACCTTCCATGAATAAAAGTGAGGCAGCATTGTAAGAAGCTGTGTTCAAGGGAGAAGAAAAGGAATTAATTCACTAGTTAGTGTTTTATCGTTACAATTTGGCAGTTATTTTTTAATTCAAGAGAGCTTAAGTCAAGATAGTTTGTATCCATTATCACTGTCTTAAAAAAACTTTATTTCCTCTTTCAGATCAACTTAAGTTGTTGCTATAAAATAAAATGTGCCTTGCATAGTCATATAGACATATGATTAAAAAGAAATGTACACATACAGATGTAAGCAATAGCAATAAAAAACTCTGTATAAATCAAATGGGAGCAGTAACCACCTGTAGATATGAGAGAGAGTGAGAGAGTCAGTATAACCTCATGTACAGCTTGGAAAAGAGGCAGAATCATTTTATTGCTGAAAAATAGTCTAATATCGCTGAATCAGTTACAAAAACAGTATAAAATAGCCTCTTATCGCATAAGAGTAAATAGTATGTAGGCCACTAAATGTAAATAGTAAAATCATTCTATTTACACTAAGTGTACATAGAAACATCATTCTATTTACACGTTACAAGTTTGGCATCTGTCAAATTTATTCAGTCCGAAAGTCTGCAAAATGGAATCATCTGCGAATTCCATTGAAAGGAATGTGACTTCAGCTTCAGCATCTGCCCACTGACTTCTACTAGTGTGTCAGACTGCCCACTGACTTCTACTGTTGTGTAGACTTGTCAACAAGTTTTCTATTCTTTTACAAAGTACATGGAAATTATTGTTTGGAATACGCTGGAGTATTCCTTTAAGACTTATTATACAGTAATTACAATGAGTTATTTGGTAACTACTTTGAATTGTTTGGTAACTACTATAAAACTAATATTCAAGTTAAGTAAGTACATTTATTTGTACTTACTATTACTACTATACTATTTTATTGATAAAACACATTTAAAACAAATCAGCAGTAGACAAGAGCTGTACATGAATAAAGATATATATAAAATGTATAGATACAGGGCTAGTACCCACCAATTAACATGGAAAATGGGTAATTAATGAATGAAATAAACTGTAGTATAATTAATATAAATAAAATACATGTTAAGAGAGAGGAACTGAGCCTACATACTGAGGATTAAACTTCTAGGCGTTAAACCAACAACAATATGAGGCTGATATTTGTCTTGATGCGTCTTTGACAGAGCGGTGGTGCTGACCAGCACTTTTGCTCTTAGATTCTAAAGTTTGAGCTTCTAAAGTTTGAGTGTGTTTGATGGTGTGTAAAGCACGTCATGGTCCTTTAAGCTAGTTAGAGATACTGTTACCCACTCTTTTAAATTCTCAATGATGCCTGAAGCAGGTACTATTCTCTCACTGACTGACCACTTTGTTAAAAACCCCAACCTTGCAGGTGCTGGTGTACATTTAGAAAGGAACCAGAAATCTGAGGCATTTGAAGCCTCTTAAAGCTACCTCACAGAAAGCTTTTACATGAAATAGTTACAAATCTGAGTGTAAACAAGTTTCTCCACAATGCACCATTTCACACCAAACCACTCTGAGTGACTTTGTTTACATTTAGATAACGAATTTTGGATTAGAAATTTGGATAAATTGCTGGACTTGCCCAATAACAGTAGCTGGAAAGGCAAATGTTGAGAAATACATGGATCATTGCTTCAGCTTTAAGAAGAATGCCAGTAGGTTCAGGAGCTCAGACCTAATATTTTCTTCCTACACACACTGACTCATGAGTTAATGCCTCCGGTTTTGTTCTCGTCTCTCCTCAGCAGACTTACGTAACACAGGGAGCGTGTGCGTGTGTGAGAATTCACTGATACCTGCAGCCACCAGGTGCACATTCTCAAATCTCCTCGGCCTGTCAGATACTGATAGCTCCAACAGTAGTGTTAGAGCAAAGAAAGAAAGAACACAGTAGCCTGTAGAATACAAATAAGCACTGGCAGCACAGTTCAGTGAACAGTTTTTCTGCAACACTTTACTGAAGGGCATCATTCGTGAGGCCTACATAAGCCTTTCATGATGTCTGACATAAATCTACATAAACTTTTATAAAGGCTTATTACAACAAGTTGTTATAAAGGCTACCTATTTTGAGGTCATTTTACCTCAGCAAGTGATGCTCTTTATGTCATTTGCTTGAAAAGGCTTATGCAGACCTTCAGTAAAGTGTTACCAGTTTTCATTCAAAAGGCCCATATCTTACACTTTTACTTTATTTATTTATTTATTTTTGTTGAAGTCCACTTATGATGTTTATGGGGCTGCATGTACCAAAAACAGCCATTCCAACCTAACTTTTCTCTTAGAATTAGACCCTTAAATGGCCAGGGCCCACTGGCAGGCCCAAAGTTTTATTATACACTTCTATAACCCAAGAACAGCTCAGCCAGTTTGCATTGAAGTCCCTGTAGTTACTGAATAATAAGGCTTAGTATGTAATAAGCCTGGGATTTTAAGGGTTTAAACAGGCAGTTTTTGTTACTGTGCCTTTAAGACAGAGATCTCTGTTCTGATTGGCTGCCCTATATTGTGCCTCATTCAAAAAACAGTCCAAACCCAGACACCCCTTATAACTTCAGTGTGAATGTGGGGCGTAACTGTTGTAGGCTGAATATGATATATGTAAATGTAGTCAATTGTTTTTTTATGACATCACGAAAAAAAGGAAATTCTCAATGGGTTGTTTTTTTTAGCTTGACGCATATATATGAACTGTATGGACAGGACAGTGACTGGACTGTATATTATGAAACTTTAATAGTGTTTACATGCAAAAAAAAAAGAAGAGAAATTTGGTTTTCAATGATACGGGCCCTTTAAAAATGCCAAGACACTCTCATAGCTCCAGGGCAAAACCAAAGAAGACACCAATCACCAAATTTGGGTCATGGTGAATCATTTGTACTAAGGTTCAAACTGCATGTCAGAAAGTATGTAAGCTGTATTAGGAAATGTTTTTCAAACTGCTCCCTCAGAGTACTTGCCAAATTATGTTTAAAGGCACCCGTGAAATGTTTGTGGACTATGGTGGGCTGTGTATGCCACCAAAAAAGCCTTTTGCTCACAGCTCTCTTGATTTTTCCAGTCTTGCTGCACCCCCTGGTGGCCAAACAGATATCAACAACACACAAACATGAGGATATGATGGAATTAAGTGCTCTTAATTCAGCTTCATAGGCAGTTTAATTTACAGGTAATGAGAGCAATCAGTGTCACATAACACAAAAGCATGAAAAATGAAAAAAAAAGGTTTATCAGTTAAGTAACAAAGCAGTTTTGAATGCAGAGTCATCTACATACGTGATATTTTCATATAACTAACGTTCATGATCAAAGCATGCTTAACTACATTTGTTAATGGCACATTAATATGTTTTATACAATAAAAGCCTGGATATTGTAGAATTAGAACAATGCAACAGCCGTGTCTGCCCAAAGGCACAGAGCCATTCAAAGATATATTCAGGAGGTAATATCTGGATAGTTGCACATGCAGCCCAGTTACATCAATCAGAGATATGATTAATCATAGTCTTTGCAGTGTTCTAGTGATTAAACTAGACAGACTAGAAATAGACTACATTCCATGTAATTTATATACGCAATTTAAAGATCTGTATGTAAAACAGTGAATGTACATGATGTGCGTAATGTGCATACAGCTTTGCTGACATACCGTCATGATGTCATACTGAAAACATTTCACCAATCAAATAACTTACAATACATACAATCTCAAATCATCCCATCCAAATATGCAGCGAACATCTTCAGTAACGCAAAACATCCATATTTGTGATAAAGTAACAATATACAGCATAACATTAACACTCCTTTAGACAACAATCTGTGCGTGTTTTTTTGTTCGGACTACACAAAATAAATCTCTATGTGTTAAAGTCTCCATTCAAGCCCTGTTGTTTCTAAGACATTTAAATAATTCTCAATATACAACTGTAGTGTATCTTTGGTCAAAGGTCTAGTCTTGTCCACTGGATATCAAGTGCCAATAAATATAACATTCTACATATAGTCATCAGCAAAAATTTGTGCACCCCACTGTAATGACATTTTGCTGATTTTCTAAGTGAAAATAAGTACATATCCTCTACAGAGAACAAAGACAATTTTGCACATTTTAATGTAGTTACTGTGTATTTGTTGGATGTAAAACATTGTGGCCACATTTTATATTGTATGTTTCATTTTATTTTCCAATATTTTAAAGCTACTCTATGTAAATTCTGGGGATCTGGACACCTGGAATGTGTAACTGCACAGAACGAGGAGAACCTGGTGAAGAATATTTTCTTCAGTATAATGTTGGTCTTGCATTTGAATCTAAACATTGTTCTAGACTTTCTTTTTGGGCCTGTGCATATGACATTAGTATGTAAAGAAGAGTGATGCGGTCTGAAAAACCCCCCCCAAAAAAAACCCTGCGTTTCTGACTTTAAACTTAATATTTTAGGCTTTACAGGGCGACTCGCAGCAGCGCACATATTTTAGTGTTTTTTTCCCTCCTGACCCGGTAACACTATGTCTTTCCATTTTAACAAAAAACTCACATAGTACAGCTTTAAACAGACTTTGAATCTTACATAGTGCAGCCTTAAACAGATTTTGTGCACTATAATTTGCAGAAAAATGTCATATTTAAAGGGGACCTATTTTGCTCAGTGTCAATGTTTATAATTTTATTTTTGGGGTCTACTAGAATAGATTTACATGCTTCAATGTTCCAAAACCACATTATTTTTCTCATACTGTTAGACACTCTGTTAGATCATCTGTGTTTTTAAACCCCACCTCCCAATGAGCTCAGTGAGCTCTGATTGGTAAGCTTGCCCACTCTGTTCTGATTGGTCAGAACAGAGTGGGCAAGAGCCAGAGCAGCATCCTGCTACAAGACCCTGCCCTACACCGCTGTGGCTATTCTTACAATGGCGTCGGTTCTGCTGTATCAGTTTGAGCCAGAGTCTGATCCTGAAAGTCAGGCAGAACCGTTTCTGAGTGGTAAGTTTTTACTTTCTAGCTCTCTTGTGTGAGGGTGTGCCAAGCTTGTCAGTAGCTGGGCAACAAAAATTGTGTTACGAGATTGCGTCATCTTGTAATAAAGGCAAAGGGCTGTAAGCCCAACGAGGCATTTCAGGCAGCTGAGAAAAGTGGTTACTGTGGGAGAGAGTTACTCCCTCTAGCGTTTACTGTGGGCTTTGGGACTTTGCAGACCATTTACATGCACAAAAAGCTATATAACACACTAAAGGAAAGAGAAAAAACGGAAAAGGCCTCCTTTAAAGCCCCCTTTAAGTTTTTCTCATTAGAGTAAGTATTTCACTTAGAAAATCAAAAAACATCATTTTACTGGAGGTCAGTGACAAACTTCAGACTTCTGCATACGACTGTATGCTGGAGCCTAAACGAAAGATTTTGTCACGAATACTGATACATTCCAGTTACCGATACAATAAATGTATATATAATTTTACATGGTCAAAAATTAAAGCATTTCCAAAAGTTTGAGTTAAAAAGTGCTACCCTGACTGATATGATTGTTAATTGTGAATTATAGAGTTAAATATAATTCCAAGTTCTTAATTATCACATTTTTAAACTCACAAATTTTAAATAATATAGAAAATTCAGCATAAGGGGCAGAGCTTCCATGCATTCGTAGTAGTTTTTTTTTGGCTGTAAATTAGCTGTAAACTCTTCTTCTTTTAGCTTTTCTCCTGGCCAATTCCCACCTGCTAGCTAGGTCTCCATCAATCACATAATGCTGCAGTATGTAAAGTTACATGTAATTAGTATAAAAAAAGTATAAAATAAGTACATACACTCTACAGAGAACATACATCTGCATATTTTAATGCACAATTACTATTTATTATGAATTTAACATATCAGGGAAAGAAAAATAAAAGTTATGGCACATTTTGTATTTCATGTTTTACATTTTTGTCCAATATGTTAAAATCAGAAAATAATAGAAATTGCCATACGTAAGTATTTTCTCTGCAGAGGAGGTTTTAACTTATTTCATTTCATATTAGCAAAAGATGTAATTTGACCAGGAGTGCTTAAAGTTTGGCATACAACTGTACTAAGCAGGGGGGGCATCTTTAAAAACTTTCGCTAATGTCACATCATTGGACTCAATACACATGGAGGAGAATGCTAACTGCCTACTCTGTTACATCAGCAAACAGATGCCCTTGTTGGCTAACATTATACTAAGTGATGGGGGGAGAGCGAAGACCACTCTACCCATCCAGACACCAAGAGGACAATAACACTCTCTTCTAACCCCTGTCACGGATGGCTCAAACTTGCAATTCCCTGATGACAAAATATTTTTCCAAAAAAAAAAAAAGTTAGGTTTAAACACATTTGAAATGTTTGTTATTTTATATATGATAATGTTTTATGTTCAAATTTACAGGTTCATATGAGTTCACAAATCCATGGAAGCTTATTATCACCCCGATATATCAGTCTGAACCTAATATTTACCCTACTTGTAACCTTGCGAAGAGGAAACATAATCTGAAATACTCAAGACAAGAAATACTAGGATTCAAATGTGGCCTTAGACCTGTTTACATATACTAAAAAAAATACATTCAGTTATGGGAATCAGTTTAGGGCATCTCTCATGTGCAGTCTTTTACATTAAGGCATCCCACACTTATCATTAAAGCCTGGCTTATTATTGTATCTGTGACTGAATACATATTTAACTCCTTAAAGGGCACATGCAAATGTGCTGCGCTGGTAAACTTTGTGTGCAGTGGGATGATGGGAAATGTAGTCCAGTCATCAGTGGAGAGGGCAGGGCTATAAAGACTGGTAGTTAGATTTGTGCGACACATAGGCTCCTTAGAGCTTCCTTTGCTATTCAGAAGCGGAAGCAGTCAGCAGCTTCTTCTGAGCTGTCAAAGTCGATTCCTTCACACAAGGATTCCTACAATACATTACAGACACAAAAAGCAGCAATCAAAAATCTGAATATGAAAAATGACATCTTTATCACTATAGATACAGTATGCAAAGCACCAGGAAATTTGCTGCCAAAAATAATTTACTCAAAATTTACAATGTAAATGATATTACATTATACAGTGCATGTAAACCTTTGAAAAAATGAGATTGCTGTTTCGTTTCATTTCATTTACAGCAAGAGCAATTCATTAAGCAATAATATTGGCCATTTCATGCTCTTAAAACAAACTGAAACCAACTAGCACACAGGCAGCAATACAGTGCAGTCCATAAGTTACTTCTGGTTGTTTTGGCTCTGTACACTAGATTTGCAATTAATTTTGTGCTTATTAGTGCTAGACCTTTAGTTCAGGCCATAAAAGACTAAAAAACAAGAAAAAAGCCCCTTTCATAATGCTAATTTCTGCTAGTGCCCCACTATACTAATAGTATATTAGAGCCAGGCTATCAGCAATTCACATTAACATTTTTTGGCTGTTCACAGGAATCTGAAGCTTGTAAAAGGTATTCTATGTTTTATCTGAAGCTTGCAACAAACATATTAATATATATATTACCTTATATGTTGCAGTTTTACGTGAAGAGGAAAGAGCCTTGGAATTCTCTGTTTTCCAATCTGACTTGGACCTGGTTATTCTACAGAGACTTTTTTCTCTCTTAATTCCACCCATTGAAAATCAAAATGTGTTTGGTTGATTCCATTCTCAGCTCCTCGTTGTGTTAGCGGTTAATCTGAGACTTTTTTTGTGTTTCAGGAAATTTAACCCTTTTGTTTCCAGAACTTAAAAATGTAACGACAGTATTATTACCATACTTGCAGAGTTTAAATACAACATGCATGATCATTAGACCTTCTTTGATAGCCTTGAAGGCTTTGAGGTTAACGTGCATAGTCTCAGCTATGATTTGAGAGTATATACATCTGTAGTAGGTAAACCAAATAGAAGTCACAGCATGTTTAATGTCATCTCCCACCAATTCACTGGACAATTTAACATAATCCTATATAAAGCTGCCATGTATGGTTCCTGTCTGCAAATCATTTATTCAAGACAAGGCTGCTTCTTATGGACTGTGCTGTAATTCAGTCACTCTAAATTCTCATTACCTTAGACAATTACTTTCAATCATTATTTATAAAACATTCCAGATAAGTGACTGAATGAACATCTAGCAGGAGGGAAACGCAGGGGGGACAGAACAGACTGCTACTTTAAATTAACAAACCATTTCAAAATGAACTTTCAAATAAAAATGCAAAACACAACCCTTGTGTTGATTTTGTAGTTCCAGTATAGAAGGAATACAGTGCATAGTTTTAGTCAAGCCTTTGCACACATGGGAAACAATACAATGACAGAGCCAAAAAAGGTGAAATGGCACACTGAAGCCACCCAACAGAGGAATATACTCACAGACAACCGCCTGCTACCCGGGGCTGTGAAGGACGAGAAAGGGAGACAGGTAGAAAGAGAGAGAGAGAGAGAGAGAGAGAGAGAGAGAAAGAGAGAGAGAGAGAGAGAGAGAGAGAGAGAAAGAGAGAGAGAGAGAGAGAGAGAGAGACAAGGGGAAGAGATGGAGAAGGATAAAGAAATGGAGAGGAAAACGGAGGCGCTGTAGTCACATGGCCAGGCAACACAATCAGCTCAGATTAACACAAGGCCAATGTATATGCGCTACTACTGTATACAATACTAAACACTGAAACAAGACATAAAGCACATATATGGTATTACCCAACATAAACAAGTCATCTATGATTACTTCATATTTAACAACAGGTGTGGAAAATAATAAATGCGTTCCATTAATGAGCATCTCCAGTGCTTAATTTCTAAATTATGATATTTGGGAACAATGAGCAGTAACAAATGCAGCATTTTTATTGTTTATCAGAATCAGAATCACTTCATTTGTCAATTATGTTACAGATACAAGGCATTCGTAAATCTGAACTGATCAGCAGCAGCTGAATCGTGTGAACTGTGTTAACAAGGCTTATAAAACAAGGAAGGTTCTCTCCTATGTGCATCTTCCACAATAGCATTGGTCTTGTTTTTATTGTGATGTCAGGCATATTTATAGATTGTCGCATAAATTTATTTCATATGCGACAAAGGTGCAGGATGCCCCAAAAAGGCGGTGAATATAATCTGAAAGGTGCTAGATCCAGATCTAGATCCAACATGTTTTGGCAATAAAATTCTTCTCCTGCAGTTAACAAAGTCAGAAGTGTTGAGTAGAAAATATCTGCAAAAATAACGACCCAATAAGCCTTTTAATCAGTCATTAAATACTCCAGGAATGTGGGAAACTCTGATTTGCTTTCATAAGTGCTTAGAAAATTAAACCTATATTAGTAGTTAAAAGCAGAAAAGCAGCATAAAGAGTAACTAAATAAAAGTGGATTTAGCATTAGTTGTTGGTCTGGTTTAACAAAGGAAATGGTGTCAATAGCATTATTTGTTAAGTCCTGGTGAACCATCGCACTCTTTTTGTATTGTCTTGTATTGTCTCCTGTCTAACATGCCTGATTCAATGCATCAGGCAATTATCAAGCCCTTCATGAACTGAGGATGGTGCGCTAGGGCAGGAAAATAATAAAAATGTGCAGGACTGGCATTGAGAACAGCAGTAATAAAAAGACTACTAAAGCGAGAGCTCTGCCAAAAATCTAATTTATGAGATTTACCTCTTAGCCCAAATCAAATCAATAGTCAATCAGCTAAGATGTGTTTAGAGTCTGAAGTTAACTTCTGCAGCCCTGCACAGAAGCTAAAAGGCTAATTGAGGTAATGGAAGTTTGTATTTTATATATATATATATATATATATATATATATATATATATATTATAACTTGACACAATTTGAAACAAGTGCATTGATAGATATACGGTTTGCATAATGCTAACCTGTTGGATATAAGCTTCAGTACTTACAGTGCTGCTTGAAAGATTGTGAACCCTTTAACAGTTTGTGAATTTCTATTTAAATTTGATCTAAAATATGATCAGATTTTCATTTAAGTCATAACAATAAAGAGAAACCCGAGCAAACAAATAAAAAAAATATACAGTCTTTCATCCATTTATTAACCAAAATGATTCAACATTAAATATCTTTGTTGGCAAAAGTGTATGAACCTCTAGTATTACCAGTTTGGTAAAGGTGATAATTAGGGTCAGGAGGTTTGATCAATGAGATGACAAACAGGTGTGAGTGTAGCTGACCCTACCCTATTTAAAAAACCTGAGTCTTCATCAAAGTCTGATCTTTAACACACACATTTGTTAGTGGATGCTATGTCTTAGTGAAATGAGATTTCTGAGGACCTGAGAAAATAAATTGACAATGCTCAACAGGCTAAAAATGTTTTAAAACTGTTTTTGATGAGTTTAGACATCACCGATCCACTGTACAAATAGCCAGTAGCCAGTAGCCAGTAGTGTACAAATGGAAGAAATTGAACACCACTGTTACCCTTCCCAGGAGTGGTCATCCAACAAAAATAACTCCAAGAGTAAGGCATATAATATTCTGAGATCACAAAGAACCCCAGAGTAGCATCTAAGGATCTGCAGGCCTCTTATACACTGGTTAATGTCAGTGTTTATTAGTAAACTATCAGGCAAACATGAAACAAGGACAATACATATGTTATGATAGCATGGAGAAAGTCAGTACTCTCCAAGAAGAATATTTCTGCCTTTTTACAGTTTCCTAAACACCACCTGGTTGACCCAAAAGAATTGTCAAACAATCAAACACTGCATTCCAGCATAAGAACCTCATCCCAACTTTGAAACACGGTGGTGGCAGTATCACGGTTGGAGCTGTTTTGTTGCTATTAGACCTGGACAGCTTGCCATCATTTGATGGAGCTATGAATTCAGCATTGTATCAAGAAATTCTACAGGAGAATGTTAGGCATCCATTCCTGAGCTGAACAGAAGTGGGGTCCTGTAGAAAGACAATGACCCTTAAACACCTGATAGTCTACAAAGAATGGATGAAGCAAAAGACATGTTGCATTTTGGAATGAAAGTCCAGACCTTAATCCTGCAGAAATGTTGAGGCAGAACCAAAGGTGTGGCGTTCATGCAAGAAAGTCAACCAACATAACACAGCTGAAGCAGTTCTGAAAGAGGAACAGGCCGAGAGTACTCTAAGCCAATGTGCGGGGCTGATCATTGTGTTTTCATCACCTATTGTTATGAGTTAAATAAAATGATAATTTTAGGTCACATGTATGTAGAAATTCACAAAATGAAATAAAACTTTACACACCACTGCATTAGCTACATTAGCCTTGTAGCTCCAGTTAAAACTAAATAAGTTCATTTCAAACATGAAACATGTCTTGGCTAATTGACTACATTTGGAGTAAAGGAAGAAATTATGTAAACTTGATTTCTTTCTAAACTATTGCTTTAAAGCTAATACATGCATCAGTTTTTCAATTAGAGTGTAAGCCATGAGAACTCTGTTTTGCAAGTGTGAGCATGGGGTCTGCAGGGGTCAGTGAGAGCACAAACACAAACAGACACACACAAGTGACACAAAGCTCACAGTGAGAGCAAAAGGACATGCAATGCATGAGGACAAGCCTGAACAGCAGGGGAGGAACACATGAAGAGAGAGTCCAATAAACCACACCGAGAGAATCATGAGATAGATCATGCCATTATTACAACCAACACCACAGGGTGGCTGGTGCACGAACTGGTCAGTAGACCTAGGGTTGTGTGAGACATGAAGAGGAGGTAAGAGGAAATTGGAACAGAACTGACTGGTTGGGTTAGTTTGCCAATAACAGCAAGGCAACCTCAGACACTAACTTGGCTTTGCAGCAGCACCCCCTCAGGTGTGTTGGGAAAGTGCAAGGCGGAGGGGGAAGGCGCCAGAGGAAGCCAAGGCCGGTTCCCTGCGCTGTACAGACGCGGGCGTTTGACCTGGTCGTGACTGGACAGAGGAGTGTAACTATTCCGCCGCAGCAGCAGAGGGGCCGGGCCCGTCCGAGCTTTACCCTGGTTCGAGACGTGAGAAAATGTGTTACATACAGAGCGAGAGAGAGAGAGAGACAGAGCAAGAGAGAGAGATGGCCAGATGTACATACCTGTAAAAGTGCAGCATGAAATGTGACTAACCTGTTGCATGAAAAATAAACTAGTGTAGCTAATTACACAAATTGAGCTATATTTGGTTTTAAAAGACTGAAACAGTATAAAACATAGTTCAGCGATGTACAGACATCAGTGTTTAACAAAGTTTGTTCTCATTAAAATATTCAACAGTTCTCTTACATTCTTTTGGGGAAAATTGATTTTAAACGGTGGAAAGAGGTATCGAATAATGTATTAGATAGTTGTTGGTTAGGTATTTGTTCTAAGTCTAGTGCAGACACATCCATTGTTATCTTACTTTTAACCGTAGTACAGATTACAGTTCAGTTGATGGCAAAATCCTGAGCCAATGAAAGACTGAAAACTGGGTTGGCTTCTCAGGCACAGCTTAAAATTAGTTAAATCATATTTGACATACAGGCAGTTTGTCTTTGCGTTGGGAAGTCATTCATCCAAAAACCAGTGTTTCCTCTGGGGTTCCACAAGGTTCCATTTTAGGACCACTGCTTTTCGGCACATGCCACCTTAAAAAACATGACTACAATCATACATTTCCAATCCCTCCGACAGTCTATCGACAGGTTAACTGTGTATCAGTTGTTTCTCAGTAGATGTCACGAAACTGTGTGCAGCTTATTCAGGACAATACAGAGATACTGATACTTTATATTCAATTTAAATTTGCATATTTGTGAGACCTTTTACATCATCAAATCTTAAGTACTAAACCTAGGCATTCCAATCTCTGTTTTGTCTCTTATTTAATCCCAGGCTTACTGCATACTAAGCTTATTATTCAGTAACTACTGGGACTTCAATGCAAACTGGCTGAGCTATTCTTAGGTTACAAAAGTGTGTAATAAAACTTTGGGCAGTGAGCCCTGACTATTTAGGTATACCAAGTTACCAAGGTTGCATTCTGTCAACAAAAACAAAAAGGGAGTGCACATGTCCCCTGTTTTGAAAGAACTGTGCTAGCTACCTCTACCCTTTAAAAGAGCATGTTGCATCATTTACATGGAGCATAAACTGCGCATCCACCCATAATTTTTGCAGATAAATAAAGCCGCAAAAGGTTTTGTACATCTGGCCCAGAGCAAGACAAAGAGAGAAGGAAAGATACAGACAGCGAGAAAGGGAGAGGCAAAGAGAGAGAGACTCCCACCAGCAAACAGGCCTCATCCTCCTTAAACATTCACATAAACTCTCAGGGACAAAAACAAAAGCCAGATTGAGCTACACTTGAGACAACTCATGACAAGGCTGTATCCATGTTCAGATATCCAGGAGACAACCAAAGTACATAAATTATGGGGGAAGCAGTCAAAAGTATGAAAGAAAAACACTGGAGAGAAACATTCCATGTGGGCTACCACTGAAAAACACAAAACTCAGCAATTAGGCACACTTTGAGAACAAACAGGATCAACAGAGGCTAACTATGGATAAGCGAAATCACATTTCAGTACAACTGAGGGCAAAAACCTCATACTTTAATGAGGGAAAAAGAGCGAACTGAAATAAAAACGATCTGTTTTAATCAAACGTGACCACCGCTCGTTTGATTAAAGGACAGGGCTCTGAGAGATTCCACATACAGTGCAGTGCTGTGATGAAAATGCCATTCCAAGTCAAATGCTGAAACAATCCAGGCCAGGGAGAGACAGCACGCATGCTTGCTGTGAGGCTCCAAAGAAGCCTTCTGACAGATCAGTGTAGAGTCAAAATATATCACAAGAGGTAACACTCTACCCTAACATCAGCTAGTCTGAATTACACAAAGCTAATTCACTTAATGTAATGTAAAGTACTGAACTGAGTAGTGCTGAAACAGGCAAACGGAGGCTGACTCACGAGTGGTCTGTCACGGTGTGTGTTCACTGCCTCCACATCCAGGTAAAACAGCTCCACTTTACAACCTGGAGAAAGAGCAAAGCAAGAAACAAACTTTACGGACATTTAAAAAAAAAAACGAAAACAGAATAATCGTCCATTTGCAACTGCATTTCCTCATCATGGCGCTTCAGCTCTATCAATATTAAAGTGTATTCGCAACCCTGTTTGCAGCTGCATTTTCACTGCCAACGAGGCACTCCTGTCAATCAAGCGCTGTGGGCAGGACAACAGGAGGGACATTTAAGTGTGAAATGATACCTTTATGAAAGAAGGAAAAAACATTTATAACCTTTATGAAGGTTAATGTAACAATTTTTTTCCAAGTAACTGTTGCCCATTTTTCTGTTCATTATGAAAGGCCTCTAACAGTAGTTATCAGTTTTCACTGGTTGCTCTGAATACCTTTCTCTAACTGATTTCTTTTCTTTAATGCATATTCACCATTACATACTCATTAGTTTCTTAGTGTTAAGTCAAGGTTTCCTTCTTTTGCTCTTAGGGATTTTTTTTCATTGTCACTGTCAACCTCAGCTGAGGCTTGGATCCAGATTTCTGTAATGCTGCTTTGTAACAACAGCCGTACTAAAAAGTGCTATAAACATTTCATTAATTTTATGTATAAAGTTTGGCATCACAGGCATGAGGCAGTGTACTCATAATTATTTCATGTAATATGTTTTTGTAAGGGAGCCTTTAGAGGCCTCAACTATTCGGATGTCTGATTCCTATCACCACCACTGTGAACAATTCTGACCCAGTTTCTCTAGAATGTTTCTCTAGTTTCTCTAGAATGGATCATTTCACATCAAAACCACTCCGAATGACTTTTTTTTAACATTTCAACTATTTAATTCCAATGACTTCTTTTAATATTATTTAAATAGGCAACTAATTTTTTACATATATTTTTATATATATTTTTAATTTTTGTTTCATATAAAAAGTAATAACACAGTATTTTATTATAATGAATGATGTGGTATATATTTATTAGTTACACTAAAATTATATGAGCAATTTTAAAATAAAAATATAATGAACAACTATTATTGTTGTTTTTTTTACTTATATATTTTACATATTATAATAATTATATATATAATTATATTATTTAAAAAATACATATTTTATATAATATACATTTTGCACATTACAGATTTCACTTAAATAGTGTGTTCATGATCTTAAGAAAAAAAAACAATATAATGAGTTAAATTACAATTAAGGTATTAAATTGAATTAAAGTAAATTATAGCTTGTCCTACCGTAGGCAACAGGAGTGAGCTTCAGAACAGTGTGGAGTGGACACTTTAAGTAAGGGAGATCATCTGTGGGGTGAAAAAAGAGAAATATGAAAAAGAATAATGTGACAAAATTGCCATAAAAGTAGTAAGTTTGTATATGTGTTTGAGGGACAGACACCTGCACTCTTGTCCAAAAAATAAGCTAGGAGACATCTCATGACAGCCTGGTGGCAGATGACCAGCACGTTGCCCTGTCTCTCCAGCTCCATAATGACTGGCTCCAGACGCTGGACCAGGTCCTGATAGGACTACAGGAGGAGACAGCAGACATAATGAGTTTATACATTGAGTCTCTGACTGAAACTATAGAGGTTAATGCTGCACATCTCTTTAAAGCGTCTAGAGAGTGACAGTAATGAAGTGATGAGAGCCGACAGACACCTCTCCTCCAGGGTATCTGTAATGGTACTTGTCTTGGTCCCTCAGAGCAAACTCTTCGGGAAATGTGCTCTGAATCATCTCATAGGACATCTCCTCACAAACACCCTGAAATAAAAAAAACACGTAATAATAATTAGAATGTGTTAAAATTCTGATGCATTGATATGAATGTGGTGGTTCAGCTGCATTCAAGATTTATTTATACAGCACATTTAAGGGACAACAAGCACCGACAAATTGCAGGACAACAAAATCAACTAAAATGAAAACTTGTGTTATTTTCACTTGCATGTAATTTGACCAGTGGTGTTCAAACTTCTGCATTCGTCTCTATATATTGAGGGGGTAAATTTTGATCATGAAAATAAAAGAGGAGATAGTTCTAAAGTCTTGAGGCAGCAACAGAAAACTGGTAACCATTCATTTTTTCATTTAACCACTTATTTCTTGGCCAAAATAATGTAATGTAATAATGTATTTCACAGTGTTTATATATTCCATTACTGTGCAAATAGTCCCTCCAGTCAGATTTGTGTATTTAGTATATCTTAAAAAATAATTCTGAATTTAATCAACCGTGGTGAAAAATGACACTTCATTGCGTTAAACTGTTTTCTTTTTTTTTTGGATTTTAACCCAATTATCTCCCCAATTTAGTCTTCACCAATTCCACCCGCTAGTTAGGACTCCCCCAATCACACGATACTATCAACGCTAGGAGGGTGAATACTAACACAGGCTTCCTCCAAGACCTGTGAAGTGCCACCTCTTCTTTTCGAGCTGCCGCTCACGCAGCGTCATTGGACAGCTGAACACGCTCGGAGATCTGTTACGTCAGCTAACAGACGCCTGCACTGACTAGCATCGCGTTAAGTGATGGGGGGAGAAGGAGGGGCCATCCTACCCACCCAGAGAGAGCGAGGCCAACTGTGCTCTCTTGGACTCCCGGCTACGGATGGCTGCAGCATCACCAGGGATCGAACTCACGATCTCCTGATGATAGGGTCAATGCTTAGACGGTTGTGCCACTCGGGAGCCCCTGCGTTAAACTGTTTTCTAAAGAAAACAGTTATGAGGCCAGAGATTTATACCCCTAATAATAATAATTGAGTTAGTTGTGGGTGGTATGGCCAAAAATGTATATCATAGTATAGGTCCTTGAACAGACATTATGCAGGGCAGGGGCTCAATGGGGAAAAAGGACAACATGAACTCAAATTTAATTTAATTTACTATCTATTGCAGTCACTCTTAACAAGAGAGGCATTAAGAGATGCCCTGTTTTTTACAATAATGAAAACTTGGTGTAGTAAGTTATTGTAAGTTAACATCCCTACTAATCATAACTCCAATTAAATGCGTACACCGAAGCACAACATGGCTTCTTTGCATCTGTTAAAACGGAGCTAAATGTTTTTTCAAATCCAAATTTCTCAAGTCATTTTTCTCATATGTGTGTCCAAGACAATTGTGATCACATCTACAATTGCTGTAATTTAGTACATATTACAAGTCTTTCATGCTATCAGTATATTATTTGCAAGAATCAGGCCCCAAAATCAGCAGCTGACTGCGAGAGGTGATGCAAGGAGAAACAGAAGCACGTCAAGTAGGCTGATGTCCATTCTAGGCTCAAGGCTGACCTCGAGAGGAAGGCCATTCCTTATAAATTGAGGCAAAACACTTTATCTGTGCTAATTTGTGGCGTACTGGTATAATGGTTATGACAAAACTCATACTGGTATATCATCAACTAGTAAACTGAATATAACATGGCTGAAGAAAGCTGATGTTGCAGTACTTACAGCATCAATCTCATTCAGGATCTTCCACTGTTCGTAGGGCACTCCCAGAGCCTCTGCCGTCTGGATGGTTCTCCTCAGCTGGCTGGTCCACACCTTCAGATCTGACAGGCCATGCTCCTCAATAAACCCACGCAAAGCTGCTGCAAACTGGACCAAAAAGAGAAGAAGGCCGTTATTAGCCCTCATTATTGTAGGCAAGTAAATAGCAATCATTTTATACTGTAAAAGAAGCTGAGCAATAAGGAAAAATATATTGTGATAAACATTTTAGCTAAATATTTTGATGATTAATGTGACAATAATGAAGACGAAAAAGGAAAAGGAGACACCACTGATTACTGTTGCAACATTCATACAGTGAACAAATCACCAAAATACACTAAATAGGTGTTAAATAGGTAAATAACTGACACAAGTTGGGTGCGTTAAGTGTTACATCTGTAAACACCTCAGTAATAATTTCTTATTATTATCAATTATCTTGTAACACTGTTCACTGCAGCCTATCTGAGTTAAACCAAGTGCCATTTGAATTCTTTCCAAATGAGAGCTACTAGTAGAAATCTGCAGAAAACTACTGATAATACTGAATTTAAAAAAAGATTTCAGTGAAAAAATCTATTATCTCAAAAATCTATAAGAAAGCCAACTTTAACATCTAATCCAGGTGAAATAAATATTCCATGCTAGAGTTAATTTCACAATACATGATATGTTACAATATTTTTTCCTGACATCAGTAGGAACAGACACAGCTGTGCCACGTTAATTTAATATCATAATGTATATAAATATAATATCAGACTGCGCTACACTAAATCCCCTTAAACAGGACTCTCTTTGTAACTAAGCATTCAGTTGAGGAGAATGTTTTTTTAATGGTGATAATATTCACAATATGCTCAGAAAAGTATATTGTGACACACTGTGATCATCATTATCATAATAACAACAAATATTATCAAACAGCCCAGCACTACTCTATGCCTTCTGATGTGAAAAAAACAAAAAGTGCACAGACCAGCAACATCTCAATCTGCCGAGGGCATTTTCACATCTTGCAATTATGCAGTTATAAAAAACGCTGCACTGCAGCCTTAATTAACCCTGCCTAAATTAAAATCTGGCCACTCCCCAGAGTGAAGACCTAGTTGCTTACTTAGCCACGAATCTAATCAGCCACTTTTTCAGACACAACAGCCTGGTTTTCTGGTGCAGACCTGTTTTCCCCGGGGAGAAAGCTCCGAGTCGCCCCCGATGCGGCCCTGCATGTTGTGATCGCTCTCTCCATGTCGGCACAGATAGATGGAGTGTGAGTGCACGTGAATGTTCATGAGGTAGTAGACGATCTTGCTCTGGATGTAGTCCTGCACGCGGTTCACTAGGAAACGACGGCCCACGTTCATCACCTGAATGAAGGACAGGTCTCTGAAAGAGAAAAAGGACAGAGGTCACGGTCAAAAAATATCAGACATCTCAGAATAAAAGAGCAGGTCTAGGAAAGGTCCCCCTCGTTCGTATAATGGCGGTTTGGATATTAAGTCTTGGAAGCTGTAGTAATTGCCAAAACTACAAAAGAATGTTGTAGTTTTAAAATGATTATTTCTCACTAGCTTGTTCAAATAAACAAACAAATTATGACTAAAGATTATAAACTTTGAACCTATGCTATATGAACTCACTGCTATCCTGGACAATACATCACTCCCCCTCCATGACCTACTGGTCAGACAGCGGAGCACCTTCAGCAACAAACACATTCAGCTCTGCTGTAGTAAGGAACTGTACAGGACATCGTTTGTACAATCAGCGATCACACTGTACAACACCTCGTCACTGTGTCGGGATATTATTGTATACTGAGCCTTTGAGAGGACAGGCTCACTGAGCACCAACTGGACATTATATATATCTACTCTTTACTATGCACTGCCACTTTGTTTATACATCCATAAATATTGCATATTACACTGCCACTTGTTTATACACGCAGGAATATTTACTTCTTCTGTTTATGCTTCTGTATAATAGTGCACAACAAAACTTTTGCTCTTGTCTTGCTTTTTACTGTACTTTGTGCTGCTGTAAAACACGACTTTCCCTCTGAGATTAATAAAGTGATCTATCTATCTATCTATCTATCTATCTATGTATCTATGCTACGTTTGTGCTTTGAGTAAATGAGGAGAAATTTTGTATGTTTGATGTGTTATTGCTGGTGTACTCTCTGGTGGAAAGATGCTTTAAACTGTTCTACATCAAAGCAAACAAAAAAAGTCAAAAACTCAAAAGTGCAGACATGAACCTGTCGATAGAAAAATGCATAACATATGTAAATGTCATTAATTACCCAACTATGTAGTTTACTATGTAGTTATGTAATTACATATGAATAACTATGTAATGTCAATCAAATGTACAACAAATTGGCAACAACTCCAGACGTCCAGCAAGGCTAAGACCCCATTTACACCTTGTCACTTCATGTGATCAGTATCTGGACTGTATAAGATAAAATTGATAAGATTTTAGCCACATGCATTTACATTTGGTAGTCAAATGCATCTCTAGTTAGTTGGACTGAAATCCGATTGCTATGTGGGACAGAATACGCAAATCCACTCGTTGCGCGGCAACTAATTACCAATGGTGGCCACTTGTACTGTTTTTGACGCCAGCAAAAATAACAAGACTAAACAGAACATGAATACAGCAGGACTTTCTTCAAAATAGTAGTCTTTCAATGGCAGGTTATGATTGTAGATTCTATGTATTTAAAGGCAATATCTTTAACAAACAGTCTTACTTGTCATAGCCTTCTGGGTCTAGAGGCTGGTAGGTGACTTTGTAGCACTCAATGCGTTTCAAGAAGTCATCCATGACCCTTTCTCTGTGAGCTTCTGGGTAATCCGGGCTTGACACCTTCACTTCCTGTACACAGAGATATGGATAAGCTGCACACACTAAGGGGAATTCCTCTAGTTTGGAATATTATAGGGGTTATCAACTATCATATGAGAATCATTGTTTAAAAGTTTGGAATCAATGTTTTCAATAATATGAACCCAACTAGCAGACAAGTGTATAAAATATCCCCTAATATGCAAGTCCTGTGCAAATTCACAGGTTCGAAATAATTACCAGCAGAGTAGGAAACTGTAAATGAAAATGAAGAAATTTAACACATCTAGAATGAAACACAGAGCCACAAAATATTCTAAAATGAGTGAGAAAGCTGCGCAGCATTAAGAATTCCATTATAATAAAACTCATCACATTTCAAAAGTGGAGATCAAATCTCAAGGCAGACAATTTATGGAAATACATAATTACAGTATCTTATCTTTTTTTTCACAGAATTCTTGAAATATTCAATAAAACATCTAACAATACCTTTTGGTGAATAGTTTGTAATATTTAGGTCCACACTTAATAAGTTGTTACTGTATATTAAATAACAAAATTCGTTTTATGGGAAGTGACCGCAAACTTTGTAATTGTGGTGTACATGAAAGTGAAATCCTACAGATCATTGACAATGTATTTACAAGACTTTGTTCCATTTATAAATGTATTTACAGCACTTACATGAGCACTGAGTTAAGTATTCATTGTAATGCATTGTACTGCACTTATTGAAATGTATTGTATTGTATTGCACTGCGCTGTGTTTAACTGTTTCTAGGAGTATCTGAGCTCAGGACTGGCTTTCTCTCTAACCTATTGGTAACTAGCAAAGATACTTTCTCCAGATAGACAAAGCACTTTTTGTAAGTTGCTCTGGATAAGAGCGTCTGCTAAATGCTATAAATGTAAATGTAATTTACTTTAATTGACTTAATTAAAATGTGCCCACAGAGTAGTTGTTGCATCTGCATGACCATGTTGACAACAGTAAAATGCATTGGTATGTGGAACTGACGCTTACTGTGTGCTATCATGTTTTCTAGCACTATATAAAAGAAGCACCATACCGCCCCTCTTGTTGGTTGCAGTGTGATAGTTTCTGAGCAAGCGTGAAAGCATGTTTGGAAAATAATTCACACGGCTATGGAAACACTTAAATATCAGTGACTATATAACATTAACAGTAACAATAAGAGGAGACTGAAGTGTGAATTGTATTCAGATGGCTGCTTGTTCAAAGAGGTGGTCTGATCATGTCCTTTACATATCAAAACAAATGTCACTATAGCTCTGAGAAATCATGTTATGAAAGTAGAAAAGTAGATTAAAGGTCATAAATAGCTGCTTCTTTGCCTCTGTATTAAAGAGTTAACCTTCTGACACTGGGATGTTAGGACATTTTTGACTTACCAAAATGTTAGCAGCAATAACATCTGGGTCATCACAAACAGACTCCACGAAAAACACCTGCAGAAGTAATGATAGCAGACCTCAGTAAACCAAACAGTAATCTACACTCAAATTCCAACTTTTAAAAAACTGATTATGGATGTGTACAGCACCTTGTAGGCATTCTCTTTTACAAAATTCAAGATGAGATCTCGTCTCTCCCTGGTTGTGTTTGTAGCATCAAATACCTTGACAACAAAAGAACTTCCATTAAAATGCAAAGTCAATGATCAGATTTGTTCATTAGCATCATTTATGATGGACATGGCACCAATCTGATAGAATTACAATTTCTTTATTTTAAATAGCCTAATCTTGCACGTTTGCATTGTAAGTGATATGTCCTTTTTTGTGAGTCCTCTTGATGGCCATGAAGAATACTTTGTGCATGGTATTTTTAGATGGCCATTTTCAAAGGGCATTCCAAACTAAAACCACATTACATATCATGTAATATTCTGTAGCACAGTATTTTACTCCTCAGCCTCACAAGATTCTATATCATTTTCATGTTTACATTTATCAGTGTTTATTCACTACAATACCCAGCATACATTAGGCAAATACATCATACAAAGGTAGACCTCTGAAATCGTGTGTCATTCTGTAGTCAGCATTGTGCACACACTAGGTACTCTGGGCCTAAGTTGGTTTTCTCTATAACAGAAATGAATGATGTCTTTGAATATTGCCACGATCACATCTTGTAGAAATCTAAAATGCCCCAAAGCCGATTTTGTCCTGCGTACGCTGTTCCCTGAGTGTCACTGGTTCCTCTGAATTACAAGGTTGTAGCAGTCAAAATACGTATAATGCTACATACATGCTACTAGCAAGCTAATGCTCTCGTGCACTGAAATCACACTGCACGAAAATGAGTGCTTCAACATCAGCTACTCAAACTGCACCCTAAAACGCAAAGCCCAAAGCCACTAAACTACCACATTTTACAAAGCTAATTGGTTTTTGTAGGATATTTTGCTGAGGTTGCCAGTCTTATGATGTCAATTTAGAGCACAGCAGTTAGCCTGCATGTAGCAATAGTCCTATTTCAGCTCTTTAGCGATTTTGTTATTCAGAGGGTCCAGCAATATTCAGAGGAAAAATGTCTGTATGGCAAAACATATCAGTTTTGGAACATACAGACATTTTTCCTCTGAATATCGGTGGACGCTTACCAGTGCCACTAATTCCTGTCAAAGTGAAAACGGGCTTAGACCCAGAGTTCCTAATATGGGAATGACGTTGATTACAGAATGACTACATGACTTCAGAGGTCTATTGGGAGTCCCTGTGGTGTCATCCAATCCTGACTGTTAGCCTAGCCACTGACCTGCTGATCGAACCAAGCTAGCATTCTCTTACCTCAGTCATCAAACAAAAAAGTGTAAGAAAAACGGTGATTCTACCTTTATTCAGCAGAAAATGGATGTCAGAGACAAATTTTTACCCTTTCAGTCAGAGAAAAGAAGTCAAACTGAGGTAAAGTATCTAGATAGCCAGGTACTTTGCTAACTTTAGCTATCTAGTCTTTCCACTGTAATTATAATTTGAAGACAATTATACAGATTGTATAATTATTCTGGCTTATCAGAAGTAATGTTAGCTATCTGCCTTTACACAACAGTTAGTTCCGGCCACTCAAGCTGATTGGTTGAGAAGCGTTCTAAACGTGCTGTTATTTCGCCATAACAGCGCGTTTTTTTCACAAACACTGTATCACTCCGCCAAGACACTGTTGCTAAGCAACGGCTTTGACAGCTGTAGGAGATGCTCAAGCCATTGGAATGTTTTTACTTCTTACTTTGCGCACAAACAGAAAAAGGACACTTTTAAGATCACATTTGACCGACAGCCGATTTGGTCAGACTCCGAAGATGAGACTACACTAAATTCCCAAACTGTCATTCCTGCTGAGCAAGCTTTTCAGTCGGCAGCTGTGACAGAAGAACACCTAAACAACCTAGAATTAGCCAGAAATGAACCGAATATCGTTCGCCAAACAAAATGGGCTGTAAAATGGAACAAAACAACATTAATAATGATCTAGCAAAAATTGCCAAAAAAAAAGCAAAACTGAGCTAAACTTGATATTGCGGCAGTTTTATGGCTCAGTCCGATTTGGTCAGACTCTGAAGATCAGACTACACGTTTGGTGAATGGTATTCGGTTCATTTCTGGCTAATTCCAGGTTGTTTAGCTGTTCTTCTGTCACAGCTGCTGACTGAAAAGCTTGCTCAGTGGTAATTACAGTTTCAGACTTTAGCATAAGGAGCCAGAGAACAAACTGCTGGCTCTGACGTAGCAACAAGCTGCTTAAGGAACTATAATTTGGCGGAAGGAATTGCTAACATTAAAACATGAGTTCACGGCCCAATTTATTTATTTCTTAATTATTTATTTAACTGTTGTATAAAAATAAATGGACCAAGAAGAAAGTTGTGTGTTATCGCGACCAAATCAGAGCTGTGCTGTTATTTCGCGATAACACACTCCCTCTCGTGTTCTATTGTTTAATTCTTCTGCATTCACCTGCTAATGAGAAATCCCTAATTTTCATTGTGGCCACAGTGTTCCCTTAAGTGGAATGCTCTAATTAAAAATGTATTATTTTTAAGCTTAGTGGGTTTTGAAGAAAGACAATACCTAATCAGAATCATTATCAAACAATACTAAGTGTTTCATTATCCCACTGGTATGGAGAAAAAAAGTAATTAAGTAAAAGTAAGAAAGTAAACTAATATAGGAGACTGATTTAATGAAAAGGTACAATAATGTTATAAGCTTACTGCAATTTGTCCTCCCTCGTCATTCAAATAGGTCTTCACATCTTGCAGGGCTACCAAAGCACACTGCCTGTAGCAGACAATAAAGAAATGACAGTATTAGTATTTACATGTTTATTATTTAGAGAACAAAAGTAGGGTGTGGGACTGAAGGGCTGGACAATGTGTAAACAGTAGCAATCCTGGGTATTTTTGTTCTATTCCTGCAGTGTAGTTTAAATGTGAGTGCTGTGGGAAGTGCTGTGGTAAGCTCTAATGCACCCTTTTGCTTCAAGCTGACAGGGGCTGGGTGTATATTTAGGGCTGGAGGAGATTGAGACATGTTTCTCTCTTTCGCACTACAGCAGATCGAGTTTTTAAGGATCTCTGCCTGTATTTGAAGTAACTTTGTCATATCAGAACTGTCTCTAAAACTCTGAAAGGTTCTCTAAAAGCTTGTTTAAACTTGTTTAAACTTGTTTAAGCTTGTTTTTGTCAGCATATCCACCCTCAGTTTTTATTGACATTTACTCCCCTTTTCTATGATTTTTTTTGTTATTTTGTACTAAAATGGGGGTAAATGGGGGATTATCTCTGACATCAGTGGATCAACCTTACAGTAATCCGCAAAATGACATGCAATGCAATATTTCATCTGGCTGGTTTAGAATCATGGAATGATAAACATGCTCATTTGCTGGACTCTGCTCTAGTTTGTAAACTGGTGCTTAAGCAAGTAAGAGCTTTATGAAATATGAATGTGTTATTAATTCAATATTAATGCATGATAAACACATCCCTGCAGGGAGGTGTGAAATAAGCAGTTCCTACAGATGGTGTTTATGTCAACATGCTTCTGCACTGAAACTGGCATCATTGTCCACAAGCATGAGTCAGTCCAACACCCGAGACAACATGTGACATGAAAATCATTAAGAAAGCCACAAATATTGCCAGCACTGAGCCAGGTGACACCACTAAACTGAACACAACAAAGCACTCTAAAGTACTATTCAGACAGAATATGTTTACCAGATGTTATTGCAGGATGTCTGGAACATTTATGACCACTGGGTAGAATATTTCTTTATAAATTAGCAATGTCTATTTGATTTATACATTGTAACTGCAACAAAAAATAAAAAATGTGTCCATATAACTTGGGACTAAGAGGCTACACTGACATAATATGTATGTAGGCTATATGCAACCACACACATTATCTTAAAAACAGCTGGCAAGCATCGCTCTTCTAAAAAGTTTGAAGTTCTTTTTGTAGTTTGAAGGTCTTCTGGATTTTTATGGGCATATCTAGTCATGTTTTGTGCCCTCTTTTTGGCTTTGAAAAGCAACTAGAGAAGTGAAACATTTCACTGTAAGTTAATGTAAAGAGATTTTATATTAAGCCATTTTGGTTGATTTCTATTTGTCCGTTCATCATTAATTCTTCAGTTTAAACAACAGCTGCTGTGTTCAAATGTCAAGAAAAATAGAAATTGAAAAAATGGAGATGCTTTTTTTATGTTTGGGCAGCAACGATATGCAGTTAAAACAGTTTCCCTCTTAAAGCACAAAATACTGGGAGATTATTAGATGAAAACTGTTGTTTCTTACAATGGCTGTCCAACAAAATGCTTCACGTTTTGAAAAAACCCACTTCTGACAGGTAAAAAAGTCACCTGTTGTTTTTTTCCCCTTTTCTGGTATCTTAGGTTCAAAATTCGTAAGTTATTACGACTGAATAATTATTTATTTTCTTGAGATTATGACTCAAGTCAAGTTGTCAAAATAATGAGTTATTGCTATTTGGGAAAGTACAAATATTTCGACTAAGTTATATAAAGTACAAATATGGGCATACTGCCGATAGAAACCTAGAGGAAAAAAAATTCAAACAGTTTCTTTTCACCCATCTGGTGGAAACGGGCTTCTATTTGCATTAAAGTTCTTAGATAACCCACTAAATTGGCCATTCCCACCAGCACAAACTATCTGTAGACAGTCAGTAAATAGCACTACTTTATATAAATCTGGCCTTCATGTTTTACAAATACAAAGTCCTTGTTTGTGCCAATTTTCTTGGCTATTGCACTATTCTTATTCTGATGTTCTGCATCATACTCTTTAGGCAAAAACCATCAGCTTGATTTGGGCCGCAGAAAATTAAATGCTTGTTTGAGTGCTACCATTCTTAAATAAATCAAAATCTCCTTTCACACAGGGTACATGAAGTATTTACTAATACATCAATTTGTATGAGTTTGATATAACCTGGGGTTATTTCTACAGATCGTTTTGTAATAGGTAAAAGGCACTGTCCTCTTTACCACTGAGTGAACATGCAGTCTAGTACTCTAGTAATATTTACATTTTCACATCTCCACATGTTAAACCAATCCTATCCACAGCTGGCAGTACACATTCAGAGATCAGAATTTATGTATAATTTGTAAACTTGAAGACCTTAAAAAATAAATATGACAGATAAACCAAATGAAAATTTAGAAAACATCACATAGCAAAGACTGCACTCACTTCCTTATTTTCATGGCCTCTTCGTTGTCATGTCTAAAGAAGTCGTAAGACTTGTACGATTTGACCGCCTCTCTCCTGTAGACCCCCAAGTTAAATACTGTAAGGAGAACAGAATGACACATGATCGAAAGTCTAGAATTACGTTCTTACATCAATAACAATAAAAGAGCAGAAAAGAAGGGGATCCTGAGCTTCGGACTTCCAATAAGGTGATTAAAAATGCTAAAAACCTTTTTTGGGTCACGGAATACATGAGAGATTTGAAGTTCAAAGTGTTCAGCTTACTTACACATCTACACGAGACAATCTCTACTTTCCTACTGGATCTCAATGCCTTAGTCAGAACTCAGGGGAGACTGGGAACCACAGTACAAATATCAAATACTGACAACTGATATTTTCATTTAGAAATGAATACGATACTCAGACACTGGAGGGAAAACAGAACAAATCTCAGAGATGGCATGGTCCACTTTTTCTTTTACAATCCTGATACAGATACTGAAACCCTATCCACATGTAGCAATTAGTAGCTAGCTAATTATTAGACTGAAATTACAATAGCTTTATTTTGCCAATATTTGCATTGTATATGTGATTTCTGGGATTTTTTTGTTGGTTTTCTTATTTGTTTTTTTTTTCTGAAAGAGTAATTCAGTTAAAAAATGCTGTAGTTTGTATGACTGTATATTTCCTCCTGTGGGGTTAAAGTAGTTAGGACATGGTACTTTTAGGCCATCATAAGTAAAGCTGTTCAATTAATAACAGCTCATTTTCAAGCTTAGCAGTTTTATAAGCAAAAAATAATGGCGCCATATTGAGACAAGCTAATGCTCAGAGCTTCCGTACCTGTATCAGTATTGGAAAAGGTAAATGTAGATCCATTTACTGCACCTTTTGTTGGAACTCCTATCCAGTTGAGATAGCGTGTCAGCTTCTTTGACATGTAGGTCTTGCCTCTCGCAGGTAGGCCAATCATGACGATCAAAGTTGGGGAGTTAGTCATGTAAGATGCCCATGCTAAAAGGATACAGACAAACATAAGAGCTGGTTCAAACAGATTACATTTACATGCCCTCAATGCAGGGGTGGGTAATATGCCAAAAAAAACATCATAATACTGCAAGAAATACTGCAACAAAACTATGAATACAATCAATTGATGCAACGTTTCACACAGTGCACTGCACTAAATCCAATTAAACCGGACTAATTATGCTCTCTGTTTCTAATGGAGCATGCTGTTGTTCAGTGTTCTTTACGTACTGACAACATCCACATTATGCTCAGAAAATCGGTTCTCACGACAGCGCTAAATATTGTCATATTACCCACACCCATCTTACCATCAACATATCAGAAACATCTACCATGTATTTCTGCTCACTGGCCGCTTTACAAGGTGTATCTTCTTTATAGGCTGGCAACAGTAGGTGTACAATTACAGACTGTTGGTGCACAATTTATCAGCCACCCTACCCCATTCATCAATCATCAGTATCGACCAGGGGACCACCAGTGACCAGACATTATTTGGGTGGCGGACCATTCTCAGCACAGCAGTGGCACCAACATAGTACAGAGTTATGAGGCACAGCAGTATTACTGGAGATGTACACCTGTCAATGTCACTGCTAGGTTGAGAGTGTTGCACTATCCACAAATATCCAGACAGTAGTGCCTGAAACTGACCACTGATGAAGGGCTGGAGGATGGCTAACACAAAACATCAACAGATGGTCTACAGTCTCTAAAACCAACACACAAGCTAGTTGAAGATATAAGGCAGGTGTTTCTAATAAAGCGGCCACTGAGTATGTATTTTTTAACATTATTATGCTGTGTTTACGCACTCTAGAATCAACACCAGGACATCATTAGAAGAACATGAGTAGATCAGAGAGCACTGGTGGGAGAAAATCTGCTGTGAAAAATAGATCAAAAGACAGCAGTGCAAAGGCAGCGGACCAGACGAGGATTCTCTCTCCACAGCAAAACATCATTTACATAATGAATTTAGAGGAAGGGTGCAGAGGGACCCTGAGCCAGCGCTTCAGACGAACCGTCCAAAACTGGCACGCATGTCTTTGCTGAAGAGCGTAGTCAGAAGGATTGGTGCAGTGACATCAAGCAGTTTACTCTGAACCAGTATATTTCAAGTAAATCACTCAGAAGCATATTCAATCATACTGAACCTACGGCCTGGTCATTACCAGAAACATACATATAATCAGCAGAGCAATCAAATACTCCCTAGCCAATGTACTCACACATGATATGCTCTGTAATCTGATGCTGGCATGACTTCATATAGCCAGTAATAATAATCTCCCATGATCGGTTTCTTTGACAGACTGATAGTAATATGAGCACATTCTGTCTCAGCAAATGGTCAGCCTGAGCTGGACACTTCGGGAAAGGACATGAGTCAGCACAGAACACACTGCAGAACACCAAGCACTTTGATTAGATAGTAAACATCAGACTACCTTACCTGCTCAATGCAAAAGCCAGACACATTATTTCCAGACACATTATTTTATTATTTTGTCCTCAGAAAATTTACTTAGTCTAGCTGCACTAATAATGAGACACTGCAGTCCTGAATAGCTGATTATTTTGTTGATTTTATTTTTCAGTAGCTTACAACATGTTCTACACTACATGTTCAAGTATCCAGACACTACGGCTCGACCGATAAAAAAAATATTGTGGCGGATACTGACTTCAAAGGGCTAAAAATTCTGACTGCCGATAATACTTGCTTATATAATTTAATACTTGAATTTTAAATTTTAATTTTTACAATAGTTTTAGTTAAACAGTGCTGTACTGACTGATGTGCACTTTTGGTTTCCAGAACTAATCATTGTGATCTAGAACAAATCATTCAACATCAGTACCTGACTTCACTAATGCTCTGGCTGAACGCAATGAAATTCTCAGCAATCTTCCAAAGTCTAGCATAAACACTTCCTAGAGGAGTAGAGGCTGCTACTGCTGCAAAGAGAACCAACTTGCTATTTATACACTGGATGAGCAGGTGTCGACAAACTTCTGGACACTAATTCGGTTCATGAAGGGTTTGATAATTCAGGTGTATTAGAGCACAGAAAACACAAACCTGGTCTAAGTCTCTGCAGATTAGCTTACCATTGTGCACCTGTAACTAGCCTGCCTACGCGTTTTCTGGTGAGAACCATTTATAAACGTATTGTGCACGTCTGCATTGTTCATGAAGACTCCAATGTCCCTTTGCGTTACTGAGGATGAAGGACAGGGACGTTGTTTACTTACAGCATTTCTTCTCGTTGGCCCTGGGCTCTGCTCTTTTGGCTTCGGCAGAGCTGGAGAGCCCAGCGTCTCGCTGTAGGCACGCTGGCATGCTGCGGTTGGCCATCTTTTGCACTAAGGGAATCTGGGCTCTATGAAAACATGGCTCCAGTACACCTGCAGGAGGATTAGTGAGGGATTTCAACAGCACACTTCTGTAAGAGAAAGACCATGTGAAAGAGAAGTACTGCAGCATTTAAAGTAGTCTTTAATGGTAACAACACTGCCTATACTCAACAGGTTAGACTTCAACAGAGTAGAATTATTTTCAATAACCATATGAAAATAAATGAATGTGACTATTGTAAAATTATAAAAGTGTATTATACAAATACTTCAATAACAGTTACTATCCTATATGTTGTAATGTATTAGTACTGTAGTATTGTTATATTTTTCCATACACACTGCAGGGAAACAACTGTAGGAATACTACATAATAAAGGGTGTAACAGTTTCAATACACAATCAATAAACAAAACTTTATCACAGATATGTCCCTCTGTCTTTTCTCATCTTTCTTGGAAGACACCTGTTGATGATTAAAACTAGGCATCTCGATGAATCCTATCTTTTTTTCTTTGTATTACTGTGTACTGTTTTTATAAGCAATTTCCTGAGCCAAACAAATCTGTGCAGTAAGTATATAGAGCTACACAGAATCAAAACAGTGATAATACAAAACATAGAATATAAAAAATTTTATTAAACCTGACAATGTGTATACAATTACACTGCTATACAGCATACAACTACTGAAAGATGACAGGAGAGGATGCCAATCTTGGAGTAAATACAGGCTAGGCTACCTATAATGCCTTTTAGTATACTTGGTCATTTTTGTAGTTTGTGTATAGTATTAAACAGTAATTGTAGTAATAAAACGTAGCCTATCATAGTGTCACTTTACCACAGGAAAATACAAAGGCCAATAGTGTTTTCTAATGCACAGACACATATATATGTGAGACTTTCCACATTATAACAACAATGTGTACCTCCTTTGAATCTTCACCACTTATTGTCAAATTGATTTCTGGGGTTAGGTTAGAGTTCTTTGCTAGTTTATTAATGTTCATTATTTATTTATTACATGCACTTTGGCAACAGCAGAAACATTTTCAATGATTCCACACAACTTTGATAGTGACATTTCTGTCTAGGTAGGAAAGAAAATTCCAGAAATAAAATTATGTGTCTGTGATAGCTGACCACTGCTGGTGTACTACAATCTATATACAACAAGAAACCCCCAAAACAAAGAGAAGATGCTTTTTAAACAAAAACACCAACTTCTTAAAATTTCATTGTAATGTTTACCACCATTTTTGTAGGATTTAGTCTGATTATTATCTGGCATATTATTACAATTCCTTATATCAAACGTGGATTATGTGAGTGTCAGTTTATTATTGTAAGCGTGAAAATTCTGTTCTGCGCATTTCTGGGTGTATTGTGGATCATCAGCATTACAGAAGAGCATGTATTATACATGCTCTTAAACACCAATGTATTAAACACCAGTTTAGACCATCTTACCACAGAGAGCCTGTAAACAACAACAACCAGTGTATAACAATTGCATGAACAGCATAGCATCAAGTGATTGGATGTCAGGAATATTGTGTCACTATCTTGATTTATTATACAGTTTTAATAGCTGTGTGAGTTTTCCTCATATTTATTTTTAAATAATTCATTTTTGAAAGTGCTAAATTTAAAAAATGTACTCTTTTTCACAGCATTTGAAACGTGACACTGCTACTCTCGCATACTGCAAAAAAACGAAATATCGCGATATATGTTGTGTGCCATGAACCTATTAAGTATCGCGAGGTTATATTTCCCCCGTATAAACCACCTTAATTCAAAGGAACATGGTGTACACAGACACACGGAGATTTCCAATGTGAGAAAACCAGCCGTGCCTGGAATTAATAAACATCTCTTCTGTTATCGCGTCTCTACCGAAGGATGATGAAATACCACACATTAGTTGAGAAAGCCCGGTCGAGAAGTCGCTTTTGGTTTAACCTGTGTCACTTTTCCTGAGCAGGTGTCACTCCAGCAGCAGCGGGCTAAGCCACATACAAAGCTACGTCACTCCTGAGACCAAGATGCTCATTCAAACCTAAACATGGTGATCCATTTCACTCGTGTATTTCACTCCGACACGCCTAAAACCGATACTGAACGAGCGCCGCTTGCAAATTCACGTGGAAATGCATTAAACATGCCTCAGAGACGGTGAGAGTATATAATTTAGACTTACCTCTCGTCCGCTGGTCCTCTGCTTAGTGTCCACCTTCAGGACAGTGATGTTTTATTCTGGTCCCTAACACATGACTGCAGGGGCTGGAGCGTCGCCCTGTCGCTGTAATGCTGCAGAACCGGCCGTGCACTCGATGACCTTCCACGGCAGCGAATGCCTGAACGCGCTGGGCGAAGGTGTGTTGCTTCGTCACAGCGGCACTACCGTATTACCAACAATACAATGACAAGCAAACAAACAGCTCCGCTCATGTTACTTCAACGTAGAGGTATGGAGACTTCCAGCTGTATAGTTAGTTATTGCTGAGCATTCTTGGACCATAATTGTAATATTAAAGCTGTTATATGTAGTGATAAGACCAGAACTAAAGCTATTACATGTAGTAAGACCAAAACTAAAGCTGTTATGTGTAATAAGACCAAAACTAAAGCTGTTCTTTGTAGTGGAAAGACCCAAAACTAAAGCTGTTCCATGTAATAAGAAAAAACTAAAGCTGTTACATGTAATAAGACCAAAACTAAAGCTGTTACATGTGGTGATAAAACCAAAACTAAAGCTGTTACATGTAAGACCAAAACTAAAGCTGTTAAATGTAAGACCAAAACTAAAGCTGTTAAATGTAAGACCAAAACTAAAGCTGTTACATGTGGTGACAAGTCCAAATCTAAAGCTGTTATGTGTGGTGATAAGATCCATACTAAAGTGCTTATGTGCAGTGATAAGACTACATGTAAAATTGTTGCATGTAGTGACAAGACCTGTAGTAAAGCTGTTATTATCAAATTGAAAGTAAAGTTGTTAGAGGTAGTGATAAGACAACAGTGTCAACAGTGACAAGCTGTTACAGTGAGAAGACTAACAGCAAAGCTGTAATATATAATACAAGTGGTATAAAATTGTTATATGCAGCAATAAGATTTTAATAAAGCTGTTGTATGTAGCTGTGACCAATAACAAAACGTATAAAACTGATGTTAAAAATTGTTATATGTAGTGATATGATCAGCAAGAAGGACTGTTATATGTATTGATAATACCAACAGTAAAGCTACTTTGTGTTGTGGTATAACTAACAGTATAGTTGTAGTAGCACATGTAGTGATGAGGGAGCTGCATAAATACTAAAATTGTAGACACAGGATGAACAATTGTTTCAAAATTAAGTAACAACAGCTACAGAACACTCAGCTGGACAAGAACTGCCTTGAGCATTCATCAAAACCAGTTCCCAGTACGGCTTATGAAACTCAACAAACTCCAATGTCAACTAGGACAAGTTTAATATGAACTGACAGAAATGCTCCTCCAAGGAGACGGATATGCAATTTCTCCAGTACCCTTTGTCTTCTTCTAAATATGCAAATATTTCTTTCTTCATCTCATTGTACATATCCTATAAATAGATCACATTGTTTTAGATTGTCATATTCTATACTTTTTTCACACATTCACAAGGCACTTAGTGGTTATGTCTGAAAGGTGTGGCTTTCTGATCAGGTGGTAAACCTGAAGAGGAAGAGTTTCTGAGAATTCAGGGCACAGGCTGGAATGTAATATCAAGCTGACTTGTGTTTGCAGCAACATTAGCAAGTGCATTAAGGACTTTCCATTACATCTAGAATCAGCCAGAGTTGTTGCATTCTCAACAAAAGTCATTTCTAGAAACAAACTCTGGCAACTGACTCAGGCACTTCACAGGTGCTTTCACATATACATGTTTAATTCACTTCTTGGAGTGTTTCAGACCATGAACTCTTACATCAAATGCAAATGCAGCCTTCGGTGCCTGCCGAAGACATGGGTCAAGAATTCTGGAACAGAATACGAAGCTACAAGTAATTATTCTTTCAACTATCCACAAGTGTGTCAGGCACCTGCACCAGGGAACCAAACATCATATGTGTAAGCACTTAAGATTAAGTTGATTCTAGATGTCTGCATAGCACAGGCAACAGAGGCACAGGAATGCATAGATTTGCTCAGTAGATTTGCACAGGTGTACGAATGTAAGACTGCCCAACTCCTCAAGCAGGACAGCAGGACCTTTTCCTGTCTGCACAGTGTCCAGGAGTTGGAAGTGTAGTGGTTTCACATCATGGTTTGATCTTCCAAAGCTGTGCAAAGAGACAAAATGTACACAATGATAAGTCTGTAATGTGCCATAAACAAATGTGTGATGTAATTGCCTTTCACTCACTCTGATATTGAACCCCAGCAGGTCGCTGACCACAGCAGAGACAGCAGACAGGATGACCACTCGGGTAATGTTGTAGATAAGGGGGTTCACAGTCAGCCCCAGCAGACGAAATGGGGTGTCCAACTCCTAAAAGAGGGAGCAGAGGTTAAAAGTTTAACAGTGATGATACATCTCATGACGTAAGAACAAACAAAACATCAATTTAAGGGAAAAAGTTCATAAATGTAGAAATACAATGTAAATTGTATCAAAATTAAAATGTAATTAACACCCAATACTGTACAAAAGTCAGAGATCACTTTTAATTTATTTAATTTCCAGTCAAAACAGCCATTAAGTACAAGTTATTGATTTTTCAGCATCAGGAAAAAGCAGAAAATTTTCAGCTTTAATTTTTCTACATCATTTGAGCACAGAGGCTGACCTTTGAATTGTGTGGAAATTTCATGATGAATTGACCAATAAAAATGCTCAAAAGCTTGAATAAAATATCTTTACATTAACAGTAATCAACATTTTTGCCTTCTCCTGTAAAGTTGCCATCTTGGAGATTGATTGTTTTTTTGACAGTGATGATAGATTTAATAAAATTACACAAAAGCCTCAACAGCTAAATATAATATTAAAATGTTCAGTTTTCGGTGTGTCCATGCTTTGCTTCCATTTTTTTCAGGAGACTTGCTTTCAGTTTTTCAAAGAAATCTGCAGGGATATTTTTTTCATACCTCCAAAGTTTAGTCTTAGAAGTTGGTTGCATTTTCTGCTTCTCACAATCCAAGTAATCCCAAACACACTCAGTAATGTTGAGGTCTGAACTCTGGGGTGGCCGGTCAATTGTTCTGAGAACACCAGCAGCTTCTAATCTTATTAATAATTCTTGACAGCTTCACATGCTTTCTGACTCAGTGTTGAGTTGTCTTCTCACAGTGGAAGGATGGACAGAAACGTGTGGATTCTTTCAGATCTGAAGCAAAAATGGAGCCTGACTTTCTCTTAAAGACAAAAACTTTTAATACTGTTGATCTGATGGTGATGCTGTATTTTTAACCATTTTTGTATGGATTTTCTTATCTATTCAATCTCCTCAGAAATATCTCCTGAAAAAGAAATAACTTGTTCCTAATAGCTGTTATGACTGTGTAACATAGGAAGCTTTTAAGTTGGTAACAAGTGCGAAGCAGCTTTACTAGGTACAGTCCAATACTGAAAGTCCTTATAGGCAGTGGTTAAAACACATGCAGGCAGACACATATTAACAAACCAGGAGACAAAACAAGGGTCAAAACGGAAAAAAACTACAAAGGAAACAGGCTCAGACAGCCAATAGAAGAGAGACTTCACAAACACCCAGGGAAAACAACAGGATATAAAAAGGCAGTTAATGAGTCTTAGATCACTTGCATGTGTGCAAGTGGACAAAGCCAGGGAGAGTCCATGTAGAGTCTCCCCAGCCTGGAAATATAGGGTGGTCTCTGATTTTGCTCAATACTGTACAAATAGTAAGTAAATGTAAAAATAGTAAAAAATAACAGTAAATCTCTAGTAAAAATAAATATAATAGTAACTAACATTTTTAGTAAATATTTAAATCAATTTGCAGTTAAAACTGAATATGAACCCTAATACAGAGCAATCAACAGTGACAACATTGTGAAAATAGTGATGGTATGAAACTTACTTTCAGTAATTTTGTGGCCAGTTTCAGCACATTGTTAACAATGCTTAGCTCATCCTTTTTGTCTGGTTTCTTTTCCATCTTAAGATACAAGTTTATCTGGTGGAGAAATAAAATCACAACAAACACACTGTGAAACCTACTTATGACTCACTTCTTTATTTGACTTCACTTTTGGTTGCGTGAATCACTTGCCTCTGGATTGTACAATCACTGTGTCTAACTATCTTGTACGCAAAGGATACAGATCATTACCATTGCAAGTGAGCATTTACCAATCTTTATCCCTATGCCTTTTTAATGGCATATTTTAAAAAAATAAAATCATGTGGACACTACTGTGTAACACTGCTTCATTACTTTTGAGTAACACACAGAAGAGTACAGAAGAGTACAAATGTCGATATGTGTGTATGAGTAACTTGTTCTGTTAGTCTCCCATTGTGAGCATGTGTACAAGTGTTTCATTTTCATGTTCAGTGAGAAGAGCAGACACTGTGCTCTGTATGTGATTACCTGCTCAGTGAGCAGCACAGAGGCATTGCTGTACTTGTGGTTGGTTTCTGCTCCGAGCGTGGCCAGCCGCAGCAGAAAGACGAGAAGAGCGGCGCCCCACACCAGTAGCTCCCAGTTACTCTCCCAGTCCAGAAATGTGTGGTGACTATGCAGCAACTACAGACATAAAACATAGGATACATAGTCACTGACAGATATTCTCTAGTTATATCAAGAACCAGTTTTCTTCCATCCTTATAACCTCTGTAGGGCTACCACAGTGAATTACTTATATACATAATCAAGTGATCTACCAGTCATTTTGACTATTAAGCTAGGTTTACACAGCAGGTAAAAGCGGCCCAAATCCGATCTTTTTCCTCATATGTGACACAGATGTGTCATCTTTGTGTCAGTGTGAACAGCAAAAAACACACTGAATCTGACATTTTCAATTCTGATTTGAGTATGTGCATTGCAACTCAATCTGAACAGCCAGATCAGAATTCATGTGACTTGTACGTCAATCCAACTCGATATCCGCCATCATTTCGCACTGCTGAGACCTCATAAACATTTAGGCTGTTTCTGTACTAAAAAATGTGAAGAGACTTATTGCAGCCCTTGCGTGTTCGAAAAGACTTTGAAAGAAATGGCCAAACGTGGCCATAGGAGAACAAGGCTGCAGCGTCAAAGAATAGTTAAAAGTCTGAGAGCAAAGTTTAAAGAATCCGTGGACACAAACCTAAGAAGTGACCTCCCCCCTTTTA